GTCTACACAAGAAAGCTCAGTAGCTGTCGTAGTTAGAGTCAAACTGCCTCCCTCCCCAATTGGCTTTTAGGAAGCAGCTATAGCGACACTACTTACCTTCTAAGTAACATTGCCTCCCTTCTGAACTGGCTTAGCCATAGAAGCTTTAGTGACACTACCCTTCTTCCCAACTGGCTCCGCTAGAGTAGCTACGGCCATACTGCCGCCCTTCCAAACTGGCTTAGTTTTATAGAGAAATTGCCTCCCTATCAAACTGGCTTAGTTTGAGCTACACAGACATTGCCTTCCTCTAAAACTAGCTTAGTTTTAGCAATAGAGATATTGCCTCTCTCCCAAACTGGTTTAGTCTTAGCTACAGAGACAATGCCTCCCCTTTCAAACTGGCTTAGTTTTAGCTAAAGAGACATTGACTCCCTCCTAAACTGGTTTAGTTGTATAGCTACAATGATACTGTCTCTCTTCTAAACTGGCTTAACTGTAGGAGCTACAGCGACCTTACTCTTCGCCTTAATTGGCTTAGCCACAGGAGCTACAGCTACACTGGCACCTTTCAAAACTGGCTTTGCTGTAGTCAGAGCAACATTGTCCCTTCAAAACTGGCTCAGTTGAAGTTACAGCAACATTGCTTCTATTGGCTGTGGTAGTTACAAATACCCTTCTGAACTGGCTTAGATGTAGTAATAACAAGTTATAAGTTACACAGAGGCTAAGGCTGCTACTGAAGGTCTAATCTGACACCCTGTAATTACAAAATCCCAATCTAGATGGCAAACCAGCAGGGCAAATACCAGATTCAACCTCCAGTGAGGCAGTCACAACGGTAACATACATCAGGCTAATATCTCCAGTCCCATGTGGATAAGAAACATTATCTACCAGTGCACCATGTACTGATCGTCATCCATGGGAGCGTGATACATCACAGTAAAGCATCACCAAATCATCAAGGCAAGCATTCTTATATCACTTTTAAAAAAAACCACCAAACACCAAGCTATTATCAATGCAAGCATTCTGATACAGCCCCTTCACATTACCCAAGCCATGAGAAAATCATCAAGACCATGTAAAACAAAACATCACCAAGGCAAACATTCTGATACAGCTACTTTACATTACAACTATGTGAAAATCATTTTCTTCTCTATTCAGTGTAAAACGACATCAAATCACTAATGCAAGTATTCTGATATAATCATTCTTGAACTTTACCAAATCAGGCAAAACCATCAGTTACTGAAACATTCTCATAACATTTTCCCCATAAAAGTCAGTCTTTGAAATTTCTCCAAACAATTTAGATTTATCATGTCTCAAGGAAGACTGTTTCATTTATTTCTTCTTCTTTTCTCTACATCTGGAATGCCTCAATCGTCAGGGCAGAAAGGGCTCTCTGGAACCAGCCTTTCTGTGCGCTTCATATAAAGTACTTTTCAGTTTTTTTGATATTTCTGCTGTCTATGTTCTGTGTGGTCGACCTCTGGCTGTTACCGCTCTATCTGTATAACACTGCTCTATGTGGTGCCATGTCTGATGCATATCTTATTACATGGCCAAACCATTTGATTTGTTGTCTACCTATAAAGAACAGTATTGGTTCTGTGTCCACTCTTTCTGATATCATCATTTAGCAGTGCGTAAACATTTCATTTCTGTTGTGACTATTTTCCTTCAGTCTTCTGAAGACAGTGTCCATGTTTGACACTGATAGCAGTATTGGTAAAAATATTGTGCTGAACAGTGCATTTTATTTTTTCACTATATTATCCTGTTTGCTTTTTTTAAACATGACTTCGCTCAATGTTCAGGAATCCTTCCAATCAATCTTATCCCACAGATTATCTTATACAAAACCATTCTCATCCTGAATATTAATATCAATAAAGCTGTTTTCAAAATATACAGTTCTCAAAACATTGAAAAGCTCTTGCACATGTCTTTAGCTTTCTCTCCTTAAATTAGATACACAAGTATTCCCAAAATGTATAAGAATGCACTAAAATCCACACGGTGAATTTTGAAAGCATGTACATACGTCCAAAACAAAACAAAAACATTGTGAATAAAAGCATTAATACCATTTGAAGATTTGAAAGACTATAGTATGGGCATACCCCTCCCACCTGTCTATTCTCCTTTAGACAAACAATTTTTTCAGTCTGGGCAGGATTTTCTTTAAATTACATAGGATATATTTGTGAGTATATAAAATTTCAGTCTGACAACTTCAGACTGGCAAGTATATTACACAATCCACACTGGCAATACATCTGACTTGTCTTCGGCATTGCTAACACACCCAAGGTTACACAAAATTTAAATCATCCACCTCTTCACACAAAAATCTTGGAAGGAATTTTTAAAAAATGGTTTTCAATATGTGACGAGTCAAAGCTTGTTGTAATATACAAGTGGAGATGAGAAGGGTACAGCCTGTGACGTGACAGACCAAATCCCGGTTTGTTAATTTCATCAAGGGGGCTGTCGGTATGTTACCGGAGTTAGGGGGTCTACAGTTCATCGCCTCTAACATGGAACCAAAATGGATGACTGTCGGATTAAAAGCCATGTGGCCTAGCCTGCAACAAGCTCCTGAGCTCCACTGTTACCAGAAATGGTGTCAGGTCTGTGACACACCAATCATGGCCAAGGTAATGGTGATGTAGGTATTATACAGTGAAACTTTCTACATGCATTGTTCTGAACTTCTGCAGCTGTCACACACAACAGCTTTGTAATGAACTCAGCAAAGCCAGAAATGTGCGCCTACAACACCCACAACTTCATTTTAAAAGTATATGGGTCGCTGAGAATGTGTTGATGCAAATATCTTTCAAGACTGCAAACAAGCTGCGCAATCAATTCTACAGTGTGACAAGAATCAAGCTACTAGTCATGGCGGGACTAAATGATTTAAAATTCATGAGAGATAATACCTAAACTTGTTTGATTTTCCATAGTTGAGTTTTTTCCTTTGAAACAAGCCACAACTGCCAGTTTTCTGTTTTTCTTAAAATATCAATCAGTATGTGTGAAAATTATTCCACAAACTAGGTACAACCTGCCATACAGTAATCCTCACTGACCAAGCTTTCTTCCCCATGCAGGCTATGGGTTCATCTCATCGGTGGCAAATTGGTTAACAAACACAATTTATAGAGATCCATAGGAATTATCACGGAAGCAGCAGAGTCAGTGCTTTGTTCATCTTCAAAAAATATTGTTGACATTCTCTTTTAAAAAATCAAAAACCTCATGCCAGCATCAAACTTCAGGACCTCAATTAGAGTGACCATGCATAATGCAGCAGCGATTCAGAAAGAGCCATGACAGATGAGTAAAAGGCACAAAAGACCAACCTAGAGGTGAACAAAGGGTTATAGATTTACATTTGTTAGGAGAATGAGCAAGAGTGACACTTCCTGGCATGGCTGAGCCAATGCAATAAAATCAACTTTAAACCTTTAAAACATACTGCTTGTAAGTTCACTAGATTAAACTTCAAATAATGTTCACTAATCTGCATCACACAGACTCAAAAAGAGATGTGAGTGAAAAATAAAAATATAATGACATTGCTGTTGTCTGTAACATTAGGAAACTAGGATGTAACAATTATATGACAAATACATGCAATTATTTCAACAGCCCACCAGAATTGGTCAGAAATGAGTGATTCAAATCAATGATAATTGTAACTAATAGGATGCACATTAGGAAAATTAGCTATTATAACTAGAATATACATCCAGAGCCTACATGGCTGAAGAACTTAAAATACTATATAAAAAAAAAAAATAGCACGCAGAAAACAAATGAAGTGTATATCTTAAAAAGGGTGACAGTTTTTGTTAGCAAGAATTAAGCAGACAATAGTGTGAGGAAGATAACTAAAAAAAAGAGATATTACAGGACAGAAAGGATTAGCTTGTCATGACCGATGGACTTCTTTAATCAGAGGATAAAAGACAGTATCAACGAAACACACTAGAAAATGCTACTTAACCAGCCCCAGCACACAAACTGCACTTTTTAAACGTGATAATACACAACATTTTTGCTTCTGCCAATCTGAAATGACAACCTGGATAGAAAGAAGTGCTTCCTAAATTTAAGGGTCTGCTGATATTACTGACTAAGAAAAAAAAAAACTAATAATGCAACCTGTTTATGCTTTAGGAATAATGAGATCTTCAGTATGACAAAAAAAAGCCTGAGGTCAGAGGTAGACATCTGAGAATAAGAGGGACTAGCATGATTTAGCTAACTGGGATTCAATGAATCGGAACAATGAACAGGGAAATTTCAACCACATAAAAACAGAGCACACACACACACAAAAAGTAAAAGACAATTAACTGTCTGGTGCTGGTTGAACTAGATTAAACAGAACATATAAAGAAGACAATGTAAATCAATTACCAATCAGAGAAGGAAAAAAAAAAAATGGTACCAAAAGAATTAAAGTAGCAATCTGAACAAATAAAGAAGCTAACAACAGTAAACAACCGTCTACTACTAAATTAACCCTGTCGCTCAAGAGTGAAATTTGGAATAGAGAAGATATAAAGACCCAAAAAAAAGAAGCCTGGGCTACTATATGAAATAAAAGCTGACAGTATTTGATTAATAAAAAGTTGGTTGGTCAACAGAGGCGAAAACTGTCAATCTTTAACAATGTACAACCTAAACCTATATAAGAGACTTGAATCCGTCAAGCAATTCAAAGTGTCACTGGCCTATTCCACATCAGTCAAAGATACATACCCACACTATGCTGATCAAGCTTAAAACCCCTAACACACCAATGAAAAAAAACAAATGTACTTTCCCACACACCAGCCACTTTATTAACATGACTACAACAACCAACACTGACTGGCCGGGTTTTGGAGCTTCCTGAAAATAACAGCTCGAAGGGGATGGAAGATGCCCTTGTTTCACATGGTAACTTGCGTGTGAAAAATGTCAAATACTGGTGAGATACAGGGAACTTTTCTCTAGGTGATGTAGCGATTCAAAGCTCGCAGGGCGTACAAAAGCTCTGCTTGCTGCCTGGCTTCCATCAACATCAGATTGACGTGCACCTGGGAGTGACAAACAACACAAACTGTTACAATGGAAAGTGGTATGATCATCATAATCACACTTTTCTGCAGGGGGCTTGCAGTTGGTTCTTCCATCTGATCTTTCTTGTGCATTTATGAGTTTCTGTAAAACACTTTACAGGGTGGGTAGCTGGCCCAAGCTAAACCCTCCTTTCTCAGCCAGGCTAAGGGCCAGCAATGGTTGAGATGAAGTGCCATGACTTTAGCATGATAAGTATACTCCCTTTGTCTATTATATTAAGCATTTATAGTTTCTTCAAGCAATTTAGGTCCACAGTAGTGCAGAGGCTAAACACTCCCCTGCAGCCCAAATAGCCTGGGTTCAAATATTAAGTTTTTTCTTTCAAAACTGACCTTGGCTCCTAGGTTATAAACCACACCAGGTTTATTCAACTGGTGGCCCACAGATCACAGCTAGCTGTGTTTGTCCTAATGTTAATGATTTTTCTATGCTTGGTCTTGGGCGTCAGGCCCGTCCTGATCCCTACTGCCATTAACTTGGCCCTAAGTAAACTTTACTGAACAGCCTTGGACTACACCATTGCCAATAAATACATTTAGTCATGATCCATTTGTTTGTGATAACATCGATGCTAAGCTGAGGGGAAGGGAAAAGGCAGACCAAGAGAGACGTGCAAATAGAATTTGGCTGACCAGACAGGTCTCACATAAGCATAGGTTCTATAGAGCCCTATTTTGGGGAGGGGAAAGGAAACAGACTCATGTCCACTAACAAGTATGTTGTCGTAGAAGGGGACTAATAAGGGTTTTGCTGAAACTGAATGTGTTGGCTCAAAAGTGGAACATATCACAGTGCAGTGTAACCAATAATACACCGTCCCAACTGCTGTTTTCAAGATGGACTTCAGCCTTAAACAAAATGGTAAATCATTTCAGTAAACAGTTTTCAAAACAATGTTCCCTGTAGTGAATGTAAATAATGTGGACTCTATAAGTACATTGCTATAAGTACATTGCAAAAGTACATTGCTATAAGTACATTGCTATAAGTACATTGCTATAAGTACATTGCAAAAGTACATTGCTATAAGTACATTGCTATAAGTACATTGCTATAAGTACATTGCTATAAGTACATTGCACAATTTATGCAGCAATGCACAGATGAGAAGTATGCTAGGCAATAAACTGTGCATGTATTGATTGTGTCTGCATTATTTAAACATTCATTTTACTAAACTAAAGACCTACCTTTTCAGAATGCTTAAACTCCCTCATCACATCATCATAATCTTTCTTCTGTAGCCGTTCAGGGTAGCAGGTCAGAGTTTTGATGTAAGCTTTCAAGTTCCTCTCCAGAAGTTGATTCACCTGAAACACATAAACGTTTTTCCTCAATGCCACCATTCATACAATCAATAAGTTCCTCAATTATTTTACCAGATTGTCAGACTGGTTCGAAATACAGGTCAAGGCCATACTAGGACCACAAAGAAGCCATCAAACATGTATACAGCATGTGATACACAAAGTCCAGAGGACCGAGACAATATGAAAATTGGCAGAGAAAATAAGCCAACGCTTGGTCAGACTAAAATGAGGTTTTCAACAATGCTTTTGCAGCTGTTAGTGTTAGCCCTAGTTTTATTTGATAAGGCAGACGAAATTATGCTGACAAAACTACGCTCGTGTCATTAAAAATAAACATAAAACTGACAGTGATAGAATGACTTAGCTTTCTGATACCCTTATCACTTTACTGCAAAACTGTGCTCATTGTCATCCATGTTATTTGTTTGAGTAACAGTATATGTAAGTTACAACGACTTAGCTTAAAGACAAACCTCAGAATAAACAGTATCAATATCACTGGAATGCCACTATAAAACAGAGTGTTGCAAAATAACAGCTGTTATTACACATAAAATAGAGTCTTTTCAAAGGGCCATGTAAAATCACAAATCGAGAATTGAGAAAGACAACAAAATGTTCTTCCCTGGGACACATCAAAAGAAGAAAGGGATGACCTCAGAAGGTATGCGGAATGCCTCAAACTATTTTAGCAAGTACAGCTCTCTGATGTGAAAATGACATATAGGATAGATCCAGCAGCCCTTATTACAGTAATCTTCAATCTGCAACACTGAGATATCATAAGCTTAAAGTTTACACAGAGATGTAGAGAAGAAACGCTCAATGTGTGAAATCGAGTTTAAGCATGTGCAGGAACTGAGAATTCCTTGGGTGAGCCCAGTACTAGAAGGCTATGTATTGTCACTGTATTTATAGAAGCCCTCAAGGACAGCAGGAAATGCCCAAGCTCTACGCCTATCTACCCTTGATGAAAGACCCAGGTACATGCGGCTGTCATGGGACAACCCATGTGAATCATTGGATGCTAAAATCAGCACACATATAAAGCTACAAATGGCACATGAAACTAACCAGGACGGCTAACAAAAAGAATAAATGCGGCTGTCATGGGATAACCCATGTGAATCACTGGATGCTAAAATCAGCACCCATATAAGGCTACAAATGGCACATGAAAGTAACCAGGACGGCTAACATAAAGAATAAATGCCAATGGAAAAGTCAGAAGTGTTGGTCAAACAAGCGCAAATATTGCTGCTATACTGTGAACAGGCACAGTTCACTTTTGACACTCAGATGAACAATGAAGCAGAGACCGGAACATGTATCATAATGCATAACCATGCAATCTCTGACATTTATAGCTGCCTGGTGTATTCTCATTCATTCAGTTGCTTGCTCCATTGTAATTAGCTTTTTAGCTTTTTCTTTTTCACATTCACCAGCTGCAAACTCTAGTGGAAAGTTCTGGTTGTTTGTCTACCTCTGGACTTTTGTTCAAGAACACGAGTGTTGGATGCACATCCATTCTACAGACCTGACTCCTGTGTATGCAGATTGTTGTTTCCTTTCCTCTCAGGCAACTTAAAATTCAGCCCCCACTTACAACATGCTTGTTGGAGAGGCAATGGTTCCATTCCTGTCGTTCCACAATAGGGCCCTGGAACCCACAAGGTTTCCTGTAGCATTTACCCCCTGACTGCATACAGTGAAATATTCCAGGCAATAATTTACGCAACTGTTTTGTTTTTTCTTTCTTCAAATTTACAATGCAAAAAAAAAACTGATTTAATTCTATGCTTGTCAGCACTGATACAATGGGAAAAAAATCAGGGTCACTGCAACTGACTTCAGCTAGACCGTAAGTGTCCAGTTAACTCTAATTTCAAACCAAATCGATCGCTATGGTAGATGTACTTGAGATAAAAAGAAGAAGAAAAAGTGACTGCCTTACCTCTGAGTAGTCATAATCATCGTGTCTTATGCCATACATGCAGTGAATATAATTCCAAACGGCTCGTCTGAATGAAGATGTGTCCACCTCATGATTGTCTCCCATTCTGTTGGAGGAAATTAAGCAAACACTTTAATGTCTGCCCAGAAATAAATCATTTTAATTTCATTCTTGGCCTACATTTCTTCTTCTTGTGTTCATGCTCAACAGGGTGGCACATTATGTTGAAGTCAGCTAGACTAATGTCTGCCTTTCAACACAGGACACACAACTTCAGCAAACCTGCAGCTAGTGGCTTTTCACAACTGGCTTGCCAAGAAGAAGTGGGTTTATCTTTTGTTTTTCTGCCAAAAAAGTGGGCCCTACACAGGAAAACTAACATCTGTAAAATAAATGTTTCATCATTTCTGACGGTTGCCAAAAAGAATCACAACTGCTAATTCTCCTGAAACATGCAGGTTTTTCTCAAGTCAAGGCAGGTCATACATAGTCTATTCTCCAATAAATCCCACCTTCTTTCATCGTTCTTTCTAAGCCTCCATACCACTGGACATACAATGCAGTGCCTGAGGCATTAAGTTTTTTAAAGCGGAAATCAATTATTTTCTTTTCAAATATATATACATATCTCTGTGTGTATGTGAGAGAGAAAGAGAAATGAAATTTATATAAACATATATATTTTAAATAATGCGGACACAAACACACCTGACGAGATACAGCGAAATATGCCTGGCAATAAATTGTGTAATGTATTGTTTGTGTCCGCATTATTTTAATTCATTATGGGAAAACATTGTTTTGAATATATATTTAAAATTGAATTTTTCTCAAATACACATTCATCTCATTTCATTCTGACCCACTGGTACCTTGTAATTTCAAGGTGAAGTCTATAGATAATGTTTGTCTGTATCACACCTAACAATTCCTAAAGACTGTCATTCTCTGTGACTATCATTGTATGATCAGCTCCTCTTACAACTGTCATGACTCAGACTCAATGCACTGGACTTCAGTTTTCCAAAGCAGTCCCCAACAGACCTACAAACCTTCAACAAGTAAGTTAGAAACAAATAAACCGGTTCATTATTAATATCCTTCCCCAGATGACGTCACAGAACAGTCAAACATTTTAGAGGGTGGTAAGGCCGACTTTCAGAGCTTTATGATGCTTTTAACGACCCCAAAACATCTAGAACTGACCCTAACCCCATAACAACCGACACCCTACGAGAGAGTGCAGCCTAAGTCCCAGAAAGCCTAAGTCCCAGAATGCATGCAGCCTATCTACCACCTTCTAAAATATTACGACTGTCCAGTGACCTGTGGATTTCCCGTTTGGGGTAGGATATTAATAAAGCACCAATAGACCTCTAACACTGAACTCACGTGTAGTAAGTCAAATTAGCAGCCAAGTTGTATTTGTCGTCAAGCATATTCCCAATATCCGTGTACAAGCGGTTGGCTAACGAGAAGCCATGGTCATCCCAGGAGTAATCGTGTGCTCGGAAAGTTGCCACCTCGTTGACTGACTCCCGAGTGGCAAAGTCGATGTAAGTAAAGTCTGGGTCTATCACATAATGGAGGATTTCTGGGGTCTTTGAAACCTTGGCTGTTGTTGGAACTGTGACTGGATGGACAGAAAACAAGAACAATTAATTTGTGTCCGTCATAACAGGTTTTCACAGCATATCATTTTGTAAAAAAAAAAATGTCTATATGTCTTCTTCTGCCTCTTAGCACTCACCAGCTGTAAACTCTGCCAGAAATTCTGGTTGTTCATATACTTCTGGTCTTCTGTCGTGATCCAGAAGTTGAATTTTATATGCACATCTGATTTACAAATGTCTTAATTGTATGCAGACTGTTATTGGTTCCTTGCCGCTCAGGCACATGCACACCGCCTTCGGAGGAAAAATCCATAATTAGTCACCTTTTACATCAAGCTTTAAAGGGTCTAATCTTCCCCCAATGTGGCCCTGGAATGTACAGTGGCACTTTATATGAATATTTTGTGACAAGGCCTCAACCCCATTTTACGGGTGCGGCTCTCACACCACTGACTTAAACCCTGGAGGCTGGTTGTTTCAGAAATCAAACTCTAGTGCCCCGAGGGTCTTGATATTGTGAGAACACATTTACAAACCTTTAAGCCACAGTGCTGCATACAAATGTCAAATGTATTGGAACACATAGCGCGATGGTTAGGATTCTCTCGCAAAATAAGTGCTGTTTCCTGTGTGGGTTCTTGGGAAATAGGCCCATGCCTCCCCAACAAGCATGACATAAGAGTCAAAATAACTGGGGGTTTCCTTCGAGGTAGAAGTACATCTGCCTGAGAGGCAAGGAACCAACAATCTGCACACAAATAAGTCAGATATGTAAAATAGATGTGCAAGCGACATTCAGGTCTCAGTACAAGACTAAAGCCCAGAGGTGAATGAACAATCTGAACTTATTGTGGGAGTAAACGCAAAGAAGAAGATAAGTGCTGTGATTTCAATTCTTGATTTATTTTTCAACATAGCAAAACAAACATGATAAACTTACTTTCAGCACTCTGGTGTTTCACAGATTGGAACCTCTTCAGCAGCTCCTCTGGACTTTTGTCATCTATAGAGCTTTCTGTCAGTTTCCTCATGCGCTCCATGAGCACCTCCAACCCAACACCGGTCTCGTCATTCGTTGCCTGGAAAACAGACATTCATTCATGTATCACAGCACTTTCCCAGACTACTGTTATACTAAAAATAAATCCAATTACATGTTCGCTGTCTAAAGTATTACAAAGCTAGTAAACGTTAGAATATGTAAGTTAGGAGGTTGAAAAATGTTAGCCGCAGCAGGTACAGGTCAAAAAAGGTTATTCTAAGTAAGTATAAGTGAAGACATTTTTGACCTTGTTATTAAAGGTTAAGAAATGCAAGACAAAGCTAACATATTTCATGGAGTATGAGACAACTGTAGCACATGTCAAAAAATGTTATCAAATGCAAGAAATGTTATCAAATGCAAGAAATGTTATCAAATGCAAGAAATGTTATCAAATGCAAGAAATGTTATCAAATGCAAGAAATGTTATCAAATGCAAGAAATGTTATCAAATGCAAGAAATGTTAGGCAAAGTTAGGATAGGTTACAATTTTTTAAGTTATTTTAAGCCAAGAAATGTTAGAAGTCTAAAATTACTGGACAAAAAAATTTTTGTTAAAAAAAATTTATGCAGTTATTTAAAGTCAACAAATGTCAGACAAAGTTATAAGTCAAGAAATGTTAGCAAATGCAAGAAATGTTAGGCAAAGTTAGGATAGGTTACATGTTTTAAAAGTTATTTCAAGTCACGAAATGTCTAGAAATACTGGACAAAAATTGTGTCCACACAAAAAAGTTGTGCACTTATTTAAAGTCAACAAATGTCAGACAAAGTTATAAGTCAAGAAAAAGTAAATGTCAGATAATGATAGTATTGGTCAGGTAATGTTAAAGGAAGTATCTTAACAGACTAGAGTACACAAACTCAGAAGCCTGCAGCAGGCTTATTTATTACCTTTGAACGAGTACTATGGATGATATCCATGGCCTCAATGCTGGAGTCGCTGGCTGTGGTATTGTCTTCACTCCTGTAGGAGAAGCCACCAATGTCCACCTCAGCAGTGATGCCACAGCCGTATACGAAGGAACACATGGAATGGAAGTGCGCAAGCAGAATGATGGCATGCATCAGTTCTGACAATGACCATGGCTCAGAGCCCCTCAGCAATTTCTGAAATTTAAAAAAAAAAGCATGCATCAGTTCTGACAATGACCATGGCTCAGAGCCCCTCAGCAATTTCTGAAATTAAAAAAAAAAAAAACATTTCAGATTTTAAGCTGATAAGGTCTGTCTGTGTAGCTTTACTTCCCAGGTAAAAGCTTAAACCTGTGTAGACCTTTTCGGCTTATTTTTTCTTCACATTCAATGGCTGTAAACTCTGATGTAAAGTTCTGGTTGTATATTCAATTCTGAGTTTTGCGTGCACATCCGCTTAAAAATCTGGCTTACGAGTTTGTCGACTTTTGATTCCTTGTCTGTCAGGAAGGTGCACTCCCAATTTTAAAAGGACTCAACCCTAATTAGCAGACTTTAATGACATACTTGTTAGGGGACTATGGGTCTATTCTACTTTTCCTCAAAGAGGGATCCCAGACCCACATAGAAAGTTGACATTTTCATGATGGCGAATTGAGGTTGGTCAGGGGTTGATTGCCCTTTAAGATGAGAAACAGCCACATCCTCTGCACTGTTTGAATCCTTTTTTTTTTTTTACCTAGCTGACTTATGGCTGTTTGTGACAAGCTTCAAGGAGCAGGCTTGGCTGACTGGTCAAACAAAACATCCTTTAAAGAAACCGATAAACCTTAGAAGGACACTCATCTAGCCATAGTGAATGTAAAATCACCACTGTCCTACTGTTGTAGAAGCTCTTTAAGTACAGATACTAGGGCAACAAAGCCACACAGTTAATATGAGCAGGCAGTGCTTGTAAAAAAAAAAAATTTTATGTGAAAGAAAGAAAAAGAAGCCCCCAAACAAGATGTCAACCCAAATGGTAATGGATCCATATACACACAAAACCACAGGCATCACAATGAAGGCTTTGCATTTTTTAGTTGATGTCTTTAAATACGAGGTTAAGATTATCTTCATAGGCATAACTTTTGTGTAGATTGCTTACAAAGTTTATGTTACGGCAGCTGGTTCTCCTATCTCATTTTGATGACCTATCCAGTAAATTTCAAATTAAAAAACTTAAAATATTCAGTAGTTTTGAATGCTGGGTGCATGCCCATAAAAGCATTATCACAACTACTGCAGACTGAGCCATACCACCATTTGCAAGCATAATTAAAATGTTCAGTACTACCACTGCACCGTGTGGTTATTCATGCGGTCAACTTTTATATGATACGATACGCTTTAACTGCAGATCTTTATGATCTGTTTTATAGTTATTTTTATTTTGACTCACAGCATACTATAAGACTGAAATACTACTTAGAATATGTATAGATAATAAAATACCCTACTGTTTCAAAGTTTAAGTATGTTCAAAGGTTTAAACAGGTTTAACGGTGAAAGAATCAATTTTATCACACTGGGTTTTATCTCATCTAGCTCGGTCTCAATGCAGAGATGGCTGCCTGCCAACAGCTCAAGAGAGTCTGAGCGTCACAGCTCCAGTAACAACCTCTTAGATATCCAAAAAAAAAAAACACTTGCCAGTTGTGGGATGCACTGCACACACCAAGGAAGACGCTGATCAAGTGCTGCCTAAAGGTTGGCTGCAAGGGATCTCTAACCCACTTGTTGTCTAACTCTTGCGACTTCCCCTTAAGTGTTTTTGTTTTTTGTTAAAGAATGTCATGTCTTTAATAACTTCAGATAAAGAAGAAATAGACTTCATCCACTATTAGTAGACAACTCTTGGCCATTCTAAATATGTTAATACTGAAATAACATGCTTTTATTATCTTCAATCCCACAAAAATTTTATATTAACCTCTTATATCTGAATTATCAGTTTAACTCCTACATAGCTAGGTATTTATAGTCTCCATGTAATGGCAGGAGTTAACTCTTTCAGACCCAAACAATGCACCATACGTGAAACTGGATTCATGATTAAGCACCATATAATAAGTTAAAGAAACAAGTGACTGGGACGCACACAAACTCAACAGAATACAACCAGTAACAGTAACAATAAGAATACTTACAGCTACATGCTCTTTTGTGATGAGCCACGGCCGGTGGGCAAGGATTTTGTTGATCTCATACAGGTCCTGAATTTTGCGTGGGGCGTACTGAATACCTTTCAACCACTCTGGGTTTCCATTGTGTAGTAAAAATTCTTGTTCGTAAAGTCTGACCAGATATGTACAATAATGACGAGCTGATGCCTGCAATAGTTAATATAAGCACATCAAACAGTAATCACAAAAGCTACCTGCTTTCATTAAGTAACAGGTAGGAAAACTGACACCGCACTTGTGGCAAACCCATAGGTGCTCTGTCTACCTCAGAAAAGTAAATATTAATTCTGATCATAGCAAAAAAAAAATTAATAAAATGTTAATAATGAAGCACACAAAAAGTAATAATAATAAACTGAATTATTAAAATTAAAAGCTATGCAGCAAAGAATGTGAGATAATAAAGTTAAAATATGTGAGGCCCAGAAATAAGTTTTAATATTAACTGGTGGGGAAATAGTGTGAAATTTGGTAAGAACTAAAAATGCCTGCTACAGAGTCAAAATAATAATCAATTGCAAAATTTAAAAAAAAATCAAATAAGAACTATTATTCTGGACCAGGTTCTTGCAACCAGTGTTAAAACATGAACGATTTCTGAAACTTATTAAGTGCAAAAATCACAACAAAGATGAGATGTCTTAGAAGAGCTGCTGGGGTTACAAGAAGAGAGCATCTAGTAAAAGGCTAATCAGGGCTGTCTCTTTCAAAGGTGAAGTCCAATGTGTCTGGAGGAAAGGAAACCAACAGTCTGCATACAAGGTTCTGGTCCTGGAATAAAGCTATTAAGTCCAGAAAGGGAGACAAACAACCAGAACTTACCGTCTGAGTTTACAGCCAGTGAACACAAACAAACAACAAAAGGATAATTTAAATTTTGTTCTTCTATTTACTGAACATATATCAAGAACAATAATACACCACTGACTTACAATGATGGCAATGTAATGCCTGTAATCGTAGGGTAAGGGGCCGTCCTCTCGGAGTATGAAGTTCTGTGTGGTATGAAAGTTCCTGAGATAGTCGGGGTGGTATCCCATCACTTGGCTAACGTGGTCTAATCTGTGATTCTGTATAAAGGCATCCGTAAACACAGCATGAGTCTGGAATACACATAAAGAATGTGTATAAGCTACAGCTAATCTATATCCAGTCAGCACATTATTATATCCAGTTTCGTCCTTTTCAGGACGAAATTTTTTGTCATTTGAAGCCCTACTCTGGCTTTTGCCAGGGGCCGCAATATAGGCAGGCCATAAATATGGCCAAATGTCTGAACGCGGTTTCTGGGACCTCTCCACGGTGATCCTCATCCGCATGGTGGCACTTTGTGTCATCGGGTGTTTATCACTTGTGTGATGTCCTGGTGGGGTAGAAAGTCAGTCAGTCAGTCAGCACAAACAAAAACAAACCATAATCCTTCCCAGCGAGTGCCTCCAGTGCCAGACATGGTCACTCACAACAGACTGAAGAATTAGTAAACAAAACCCGGGATGTCTGTAGGAGTGACCAGGTGAGATAAAACTAGGTTTCTTCCTCCTCCTCCTGGGGTTCACCTCTGTAAGCTCCTGCAAAAAGTTCTGGTTGGTTCACCTCCCGACTTCGAGTTGTGTTCCAGGGCCTCAGTGTTGCGCTTGTGCGCATGCACATCCATTTTACAGATCTGGGTTATCTGTATGCAGATTGTTGGTTCCTTGCCTCTCAGGCAAATGCACTTCAACTTAAAAGAAAGCCCCCAATTAGTCGACTCATATGACATGTTTTCTGAGAAGACAATGGACCTATTCTTGTTTTCTCCTCAAAGGTATCTGAGAACCCACACAGGGGAAAATCGGTATTGAAGTCACACGAGAAAGAGTTGGCACAGAACCAATAGAAAACTAAAAACACAGATAGCAACACCTTGTGATGCCAAAACATACAAGCCACATGCCAAAAGAAGTGAGAGACCCAGAACAAGGTGAAAATAACAAGATAAACTCTACAACATTACAATGGCCTATGGCTCAGGTGGCCTGTAAAAGCAAGAATCCGAACACTGTATCTCTCCTGACACCTAAAACAGGATGTGATGACGAATCTATATGCAGATGTAGAGGTAAGTTTGCTTTGCCGCCCAGATTTACAATTCCTTAGCAGAAACATGACATTCTCTAATCTGCGATGGTTCTTGGGTCAACCCAGTCTCATGACAGTGATGTACTAGAACATTTGCAGATATTGTTTTAGGCTGGAGGGGATAGGGATTAACTGGCAGGGAAAGGTGATCCAAAGACATACTGCCACCAAGGTTAGAAGTATCCCATTTCACATATTATACGCCAGTGATTTCAAGTTACTAAAGACCTGTGGACCCCTTGCATTTTTACAAAGTAAAAGTAAGGACCTTTACCTTTCAGACGTATAGGGCTAGGCTTAAATCTTACAGACCGGTGGGCACTCAGTGGGTGATGTGGTCAGCATCACACCAGCCACCTTTACTTGCCAGGAATTAATCTGGTACTCATTTGAGGCTTGGTCTTCTTGGCAGCAAAGACTTTTTTTTTTAAGCCAGCCTCCGTCTGGACTCAAACTTACAACCTTGGGATCTGCAGGCAAGCTTCTGGCTGTACACCTGGGCCATTCAACAGGCAGCCCACAGGCCAAATGTGCCCTGCATTTGTATTGTATTAATGCTTTTTCTATGCTAGGGCACATGCATTTTGGCCCCAGAGGAAATACAGTTGCATGGCCTTGCACTGCACAATGGTGGCTCCCTGCAGTTTTACATAGTCTACCATACATGTCCACATGGCTATACATGTCTTCGTACACACTGACCCCATAATGTTATTTATCACACTGAAGAACTTATAATTTATAAGAATCATTATAAGGATTGCATTCTAATGTTGTAGGGCCTTTCTTGTGTGTATATATTTATTGTTGACCATTTCAAATTGTTTCGAAGCACAAAATATTAAATGGAGTGACCAGTTAGTTCCCTTGCTCATTACTTACACATGTGTATGCATGCTAGAATGTAAGACATTGTTCCCATGTCAAATGCATGCTAAAAACTGGGACCAGGAAATGTTTCTGGAAAGTAAAAGCCGCCTCAGTTAACCAGCAATACCTTTAAGTGCCAATTAGTCCTATAAATGTGTATAGTTACGAAGCTAGCACAATATAATTATGTTGAAAGGCATGGACAGGGACCTTAATGTGTGTTGTATGATAATGAGACCGCCTGACCTTAACACAATGTTCTTTCAAAATATTTTTTGATAAAATCACTTCCTAACTCACTCACATACAATAACTGCACACACACACACACAGATATAATTATAACACTCTGATTGTTACCTGATTATTAACAGATGCTTAGAAAAGCTTATTATTTAAACAAAAATATGTAACTACTGAAACAATTCAGATAGTGGGAGGTAAACAGCCAAGCAGTGGACGATGCAGTGTATGGAGGATAGCTGCAGATGACAGCATCTCTGCAAAGTTAAGTGGCAGATTTGCATGCTACCTGGATCAACAGTAATTTCTAGGAATGGATTTTGAAAACGTAAGAGACTAAATGTAAAATGTAAATAAAAATTTTAAAAAATTTAAGCTTACCTGTTCGTCTTCAGTGTCTGCCGGAACAATCTGGAAAGACAGAAGAAGATAACATTTAGAAAACCAAAAAAAGATTACTTGGCAGTTTAATCAGATACAGCACAAAAGCTAGCAAGTCTGCGTGGTCAGTGTTCAACAGCTAGCAACAGCAAGTTGGGCCAAACCTTACATAACTTCACACCATCATAGATACTCTTTACACCATCATAGATACTTTATCTTGTAGCACATTAATTAAAATATCCCGCTCCATCAGCACTTTAGTAAAGTTTCCATCAATTATCACCAGTACAGCTGGGTAGCCATTATATATATATATATATATATTTATCCAGAAGAAAGCACTTCTATTCTCTATTTCTGGAATGCCTTGTGGTGAGTGTCTGGACAGGAAGAGATCTCTAGAACTAGCAGAACATGCCTTTCTGCAGTGATCGGCAGTTTTAGCACTTTCTGTTCAGGCATGCTTTCCAAAAGTACCTCATTCATACCTGTATTTTAATTCCCTGGACGTTGAGGATTTTGAGTAAAATTTATACAACTATTAGGAATATAGAAGAAAAAAAGGGCTTCTTTTCTCTACTCCTGGGATGCCTCGAAGTGTCAGGGTAAGAAGATCTCTAGAGAGGGCCCTTCTGCCCTGATCTGCAGTTTTAACACGTCCTGTTCAAAAACAACATGTCTTAAGTGTTCAAAACCGGTGTCAAAGTGACACATTTTCAGCACTACTGGCTCAGCATTTCAGACAACCAATATTTACATAGATTATACTCTAGTCACTTTATCAATGTCTAGACTATAACATCTTAAAAACATTTATATAACACAGCTTGGTACCTGATCTTTATTTTGCCATTTATCAGTACATCTGCTGAAATACCATAAAGCTCCGTACCATAAAGTATAAAGCTAGGCAGCTATCCTCCGAACAACGGCCCTAAATTATCGAGGCGGAAAATATACCCTAACAGGGCCTTAGTCACGTGTCAATTTCGCACTTGCAACGTCTTAAATTGCGCACTTGCGCCACCGCCGAGAGTATCCCCCACGCCGCTCACGTAGCATGGATTGTGACTAAACTAGATGGCTGGGACTCACGAGCAGCAGCTACTGCACCTTCCTTTATTTTATTTGCCCGTGAGCGGCGTGGGCGATACTCTCGGCAGTGGCGGTATAGTCCCCGGAATGAAATGAAACCAAATGAAATGACCAAAGGAGCGAAACAAACCCACCACCTTCAGAACATAAGGTAAACAGTAGATTAACCACATCACCATGGAGTATGGAGAGCCCCAATATATACATAACAATTAACAGTATCAAGTATTTGAGACCTAGCAAGAACTAGACACTTCTCTCCACAAATAGTAACCTTAAGATTACCTGCAATTTCAATAAATGAAGTAAACTTTAATAAACAGATTAACATAAACTTTATTAAAATAACTGTAATTGTTTCAATTATAAACGAGGACCATCAGCTAAGCATTTATGTTTCAAAGAAATCCATGTTTTGATCTCAAGCAATAATAATTATTAACAATGCATCCAAACAGTTCTAACCTCTAAAAAGGAAATTATTAAATTTAAAATGGAGATATTTAAATAAGAATACAAAGGCAATAGAAACTTTCATGGCACTCCGGAATTTGTGGAGGTCAAAAGAAAACAAAAGAAATGAAATGAAATACTTAACTTAAAATTCTAATCGTTATACTAATGTCAAATCAGTACTTTTGTATGGAGGGGAAACAGGGAGAACAATTATTGTCAGTAATAAATTGGAGACATTCATTAACTGGTGCCTGCGCAGAATAGAGGGAATTAATGGTATGATAGAATAACTAATGTAGATCTTTGGAAGAGAACTCAACTAAGCAAGCTCCAGTGGACTAAGAGGTGAGGAAAAAGAGGCTGTTCTTAGAACAGTGAGAAACCCGAAGATCAGCATAACTAGAAATAGAATGTCTCTGCATTGGAACCCACAGATGCATAGGAATAAAGGAGAAGAGAGCTGGATAATGAAATTAGAACGTAGTGGAGGACATAAGGAGAACTCCTTGCAATAGCGAAGGATAGAACGACTTGGCGTAAGTTGGTTGAGGGCCTATGCTCCATTGAGGGTTAGAAAGCCAGAAGACGAAGAATAAATTAAATTACGGAGCAATGAGCAGGGTCAAGGTGTACACAAATCTCAACCAAGTGTTACCAGCTGTATCTAGCTACCTTAGACACAAGTCGGAGAAAAACTTTAAACCGGTTACAGATTTTAATAACTTAAAAAATCTAAATCACCACAGTAGATATTTTATGAAAGGTCTGACAATTAATCGTGCCGATTTAAATTTAATGTTATAAAATCAATCAAATTTCTTTTCGTATTTTTAGAACCAAGATATAAGATATCGTTGCGGAGAGTTGCGTCAACTCAACGATCTAGGCTACATGATCATGATGAAGTCATGAATACCAGGTCCGATCTTTTAATAATTAAATGAAACAGAAAGAAAAAAATAGATTTAGACCTCTCTAGAAAAAAAATCGAACTAATCGAGGTGTGAAAAAACTCAACCAGCTGGCTTACCTCACAAGTCGAAAAGACAAAGATGGTGGTTGCACTTTTTTTTTAATACGGGTTTTAGTTTGAATCAACTTTTTACAATCCAAACAACTATCTACTCATTGCTACTTACATTATTTCTTTCGTGAAAATTTTGACAATCAAACGTGATCATCATATCCAGACATAGAACCAAATATTGTGGAAGCAGCTGCGGAATCAAACGCAATCGGTCGTCTGGTTTACAATCGAGTCCCAGAGACCGGCTCAAATCTTTGTTGCAAACAGCTGACGGAAGTTTACCCTCCGACCCCTGCATACGAAATTAGCGATGCGTGCGCATCTTATTTACATACGGCCTTCACTGATATCAATTATAACTCTCTTGTTTTAAATGTAATAAATACAAATTTAGAGTTTATATCTGCAAAATATTGTTAGGAAATTAATATTTAACTTGAAATATATAAACTTAGATAAAAATAAAGTGAAATTATAGAGAAAAAAGTCGTTCAATGTCACGGAGCTGACGTCACGGCGAAGGTCGCGGTAAATTTCCACAGGTATATGAAAGAGGGGAAAAAAAGAAAGTGGATATAGCTAAATTTGAAAACACGCAACTGAATTAACCAGTACCTGGGAAAAAACCCCAAAGGGTGAGTCGATATCCACGGAAAAAAAAGTATCGATAAGAAAGGAATTTTTAAAGACTTTAGTAAAGCGCCAAGATAAAAATCAAGGACATTTATAAATAAGAACAGGTTTTAGCATAGCAGTATGCAAGGCAGATAGAAGATAAAACACCTTGGCATAAGCAATAATTTCGCAAGATTGAAAACAAGAGTGGAATTTAACAAAAACAATAATAATAATTAACACAACATACCAACACACTGTGCTAGTCATCCTTGATTTTTTAAATGTTTTTGCTTTGTTGGTATTTTGTGTTTGTGTTACTAGCTGTTGCATCATCCGTTTGTCTAAAGTGCTGCGGTACAGGCGAAGAGGAACAACATTGCTTACCACTTAAGTGCTGCTGTTTGTGTAGACATCAATGAGGTAATAAATTCACGCGAATTGACGAGCACGCATCAAAGTAAGTGTAAGAAGTAGAGTACACAGATAGCAATGCACAATATAAAATATAAATTTATATAACAACGAAGGAGCTCAATCAATCTCTCCCCGTGTGGGTTGCGGGACCCTATTGTGTTGAAAACAATAGACCCGCGATCTCCCCAAGAAGTATAACGTGGGATTCGACTAACTGCGAACATCCTTTGAAGTCGGCGTGCATCTACTCAAGCAACAACCAGCAGCACACATATCTTTTTCTTCAGCATTCCGAGCCCTTGAGGTTCTTTGCTGCAGATAGCACCTGCCTCCATTCATCTTTCTGGTTGGCCTTCTCTTTCCAGTTGGTAACCCAAAGTGTTTGTAGGTCTGTCTGGATATTATCTCTCCATCGTCTATTTGGTCTCCCTCGTGGTCTAGAGCACACATATAAGCCAGTAAAATAGACGTACATGCAAAACTCAGGCCGTGGCACAAAGTCAAAGTCCAAATGGACGAACACGACTGAAGCTTACAGCCAGTGAACAGAGAAGAAAAAAAAAAGTACCGTTTGCATTCCCTGTGGGTAGAGGGACCCCACTTGTATGGGTAGAGCGGGTGGGATGATATATTCACTGACTATAGCAAGCATGTCGTAATATGCGACTAACTAGGTTTGCTATAATTTTTTAATCTGGACCGAGCGGGGCAGATATCGCAGCTTAGCTGTAAACCACATGTCGGGCCAACGCTCTGTTAAGAGCGAGCGAATTAGAACTTGTCGTTTGTGAGTGATCACAGGATTTGCAGGTCAATGACACTACCACCACCACCATCTTCATCATCATCGTCGTCATCATCATCATCATCAATATCAGTATGTGCCTGCAAATTAGCATAGACGGTCGTGTTCGCCTTCGTACACAATCACCAGAATCGTGGATCAAGTGAGTTTATAGCTCTGTCTACTCCTGGCTAAATGCTCTCTGTGGATCGGAAGGTCGTGGGTTCGGATCCTGGGGGAGCCGGAGTTTTTTTTTCCCTCAAAAATGACCTTGGCTCCCGGGTCGATATAGCCTTAAACTGGTACCAGGCACAGTCCTGGGAAGTAAAAGCGGCCGAAGTGATGCTGACTACATCACTCATCAAGTGTCGACTGGTCTATAAAATATTGGTGCGTGGAAAAGGATCCTTTAATTCTTCTTCTTTATCTTCGCGTTTACCAGCTGTGAACTCTGGCGGAAAGTTCTGGTCGTTCGTCCACTTCTAGACTGCAGTCAAGTTCCAGAACCTGAGTGTTGCGTGTGCATCCGTTTGTCAGATCTGACTAATTTGTATGCAGGCTATTGGCTCCTTGCCTCTCAGGCAGATGCACTCCTTCGAGGGAAGCTCCCAATTAGTCGACTCCTAAGACATGCTTTTGGGTAGGCAGTGGATCTATTCTTGTTCTCCCTATAATAGGGCCCCGGATCCCACACGGGAAGATCCTTTAATTGATCATTGACTCCTTGCACGGTTTCTATTAACGGTAACCGCCTCACAAAGTTCTTGAGTCATTCTTTTCTCAGAACTTGTCAAAACATTATCTCCAAGTCTAATTTCGCTAGTCAGGCTATGAGGGCTGTTCCTGTTTGTTTTTCATTCTATATTTAAAATAAATTTAGACTATGGCAGGTTCTACACTTTTCTCAGCCGTCTTTTTCAAAGCTGTATTGCCTTGGTTCTAAATATAAAACAAACGCAATACATCGCGAACAGTTGGAACAATTGCTCGTACAGCGAAAACACGTTTTCGGCATTTGGTTGGTGTCCACTGACACCCCTCTTCTCTCTCTCTCTCTCTCTCTCTCTCTCTCTCTCTCTCTCTCTCTCTCTCTCTCTCTCTCTCTCTTCTCTTCTTTCTCTCTGTTCATGTTGGTCTGTCTGTCTACATGCGTGTGCTATGTATGTATGTATATGATTGTGAATATATACATCTGCAATTCAATATACTGCTTTATAAAATTATCATGAGAGATTCTAGCTCATGACATACAGACGAGAAAAAAAAAAGAATTGAACTGAAAGCAAAGATTGCGGGTGAGGTTGATCCAACTTGGAGCTAACATCCCCCCTAAATCCATCCGCCCCCCCCCCCACCACTAAACACCCTCCCCCCCCCCCCCCCCCCCCCCCCACCCCCCCCCCACGAAACCCGTCAAGTACCGATTGGTATATAAAATATAGGACTAGCCCTATACAATGTTTCTTTTCTCAGTGATGCATCTTCCATCTGATGCTATCCATGTGCCCAGATATTTAAATGTCTGTACTTGTCCCAAAATAACACCATTGACTTTTATTATACATTTAGGAATACTTCTTTTCTTTGATACCACCCTTACTTCTGTCTTCACATTATTCAAACTGAGGCTCATTCTTCCACTTTCTACCACCACAATGTCTATCATTTTCTGTAGTTCTTTCTGACTTGGTGCTATCAAGACTGCCATCAGTGTAACGTAAACTGTTTATATTGTACCCACCAAACACAATTCTGGACATTTCAATTAAAGATCTCATATATTCATCACTGTATAGTGAAAATAAATCAGGTGACAGTGCTGAAAGATATACCGCACTTATTAACTTGTTCAAAGTACAATGACGCAAACATCCTATGACAAATCATAACCAGTCATAGAGCTCAAACATGAAATCGGTCACTGACGTTTCTGTTACTTATCTTTAACCTACTCACCAGCGAAAAAAACGCCAATCCTCAAATGTACTCAGTAAACGTTTTCCTTTTGTTCGCATTCATATTTCCTATCAATGTGTCGTTATGTGTCACAGTATTCAGTGTCGACATATCTTATTCGTCGTGCGCACTTCCCCCTCATTCATTGCTTCTTTACATGTTCTGTGTTAAGTTATAACAATCGACGTCACTGCACACTGGGAATTCCTATGCATCCTCAAATCCTCCTATGCAGCAGCTGCTCCAAGGTATGTCTACTGACTGTTCTCATAAGATACTGGTTATCTCGGCCTCGAATGCGGCGTAGATGTGCTTCACCGGGTTTACTCCAGTGTCACGCAATCGTATTAGTGTCAAAGATTATCCACTAACCCAGTCCCTACACCGTTGATAATATCTGCTCTGTTCATGCTCTTTACTGTATGCGTTCGTTCATTGCTTGCCAGTCCTGTGTTTGTTCTAGTTGTCCTCGGCTTGTTCTAGTAATTTTTTTCTTCTTCTTTGAGCTCCCAGACTGTAAATCCCAACGGAGTCAGCACACAAGTAAGCCAGATCTGTAAAACCGATGTGCACGCACAATTTAAGTTCTGGAAGTGGCCTCAAGTCCAGACGTGGAGGAACAACCAAAACCTTTCACCAGAGCATACAGCCAGTGAACAGTAAGAAGAGAAGAGCTAACACTGAAGGTAACAGAAGCAGAAGAAATAAATGGGAGAAGACTGGGTAGTCCGATTTAAGGGGATGACAAAACAAAAGCTCATGACTTCTGAAAGTGAAAGGAAATTGTAGAGAAACAGTATCGCCCATGCCAGCAGGTAGAAACTCAGTGACGAAGCTGACTCACTGGAAATTCAAGACTCATCCTACTGGATCGAACTGTTAAGTACAAAGTATATAAATAATAGAGTAACAACACCGGGCGGGTTTTTCCTCTGTTGACACATGATAAAAATCGCAGAGGCAGGCCGGGCAAGATAAGCAGCTGTCACAATGAATGCAAATGCAGCCAACAAGACAGGATAAACCAATCAATAACGGTAGGATAAACGGGAGGATTTGCCCAACAAAATAAATTAAAATTGTTTAACTATTGATCACCTGCTGTTAGGAGCTGTATTTATCCAGACAAGGGACATCATCTTGTCTCTGCAATGCTTCTTCGCCATTGGAGGTGGGGTAGGGGAGGGGGAGGGGGGGGGGGTTGGACTAGTCCATTGGTCAGGAAAATGTTTATATTTGTCCATGTACACACATAATTGTACAGCTAGAGCCATAAGTGTTACTGTCAGTAAACGCATGTATGACTAGTCAAGGGAGACACTTCCCATCTTTTTTTACCCGCCGCCCATCGATAACAAGGGAAATTATTTCCGGCCCACCTGATAACTAAACCCAAACACAGACACAAACGTTGATTAATGACGTTGAATATCACCTTATGATTGAAATCAGCGGTAAGAAATGAGGGGAGGGGTGTGGAGGGATATCCCAAAAGTGCGACAATTTCGAAACTTCCTTCTTGGACGCGGTTATCCCAGAGGGCCAGTCTGAGGTTTTTGTTAATGTTAACCCAGTCATTTCCTTGTGAGATGCTATTTTTCGTTTTTTTTTTTTTTAAAGCCCTACTCTGGCTCTTGTTAGGGGCCGCAATATAGCCCGGCAATAAAAATAAAGCAGAAATGAATGGTCAGCCAGTGTGTAGATGGGCCGGGAAACGTGAACATAACCGGTCTGTCCGGGCTATCGCCTACCACCCTGATATTACAAGAGTCTGGACCGCAGACCAGCGATGCAGTTCCAATATACCCCATTCAACCCCACAATAGATATAACCAGGCCACCTCACCAGGGAATGATCAGAGATAGCATTACCATCTTTATCATCATCATTTGTACCATGATTTCACCAAGGGCAGGCAAATCCCATTCCATTACATTCTGCGCCACTGCCCCTGCCACTTCTGCCTGTGTTCAGCACTTTTCGCGTTGGAGGCAGGGAAGCTTTCAGTCTGGTGATTTAAGGCCACAGAGCCAGCGGGGTCGCCACGCACTGTGAAGGTCAGGATTTAATTTTTGACACCAAAATAAACAAATCTCGGTTCTCCTTAAAACTACTGCCACTTATTATGGAGTACGCCGGAGTTCAGTCCCCTGGCCGCATTGCAATTACGGAGTGGAAAAGAGGGAACGAAACAAATGACGTAATTACTGTGTGTTGGCGATATTCAGACGTATTGGGTGTAAAGGGCTAGTCCTATATTTTATATACAAATCGGCACTTGATGGGTGATATACTCAGCACCACACCAGTCGCTTTTACTTCCAAGGACTGCACCTTGTACACATTCGGGGCTGAGTCGATATGGACGCCAAGGGCATTTGTTTAAAAAATTATTGTCTGGCTTTACCAGGACCCGAACCCACGACCGCCAGATCCGCAGGCGAGCGTCCAGCCGCTACACCACGGCGACGCATGTGTATTGACTGGTAGGTTGTCTCCAGCCGCCCCCCCCCCTTTTCCACCATTACCAAAAAATAAGAAATACAAAATTGGCAGCCCTAGTCGGTACTACTGTGGTAGTACGCAGGCAGAGAACAGCTAAAGTAGTACGCTTACCTGACAGATGTGCGAACTGTGAAACTTGTCATTTATCACCTTTTCCTCCTCATCTCCTTCCCCGCCTGAGAGATCGTCATCCTCACAATATAAGAGAATATCATCCTCGTAATAATCATAATGGGCGTATCCAACCGCTCTGGGCTTGTGAAAATCTTTATTATCCACTTGCGAGGGCGATTCCTTAAAATCAGGCATATTTCAATCAAGTTATACAGAAAATCAGCTTTTTCAACCACAGTTGAAAATGAAGGACTGGTTTGGTCGCAGAATATAAACTATTTTCTTTGAAGTTCAATTTCTGCCAACTATTGATTAGTAAACTTTCTTCGTAATCTGTTCTTTTTAAATCTCAAAAACTAACAGTTATATAATACAATTCTCTTAACAGTAACATAAAACAACTCTGAAAAATATGAACAACTAAAATCTTTAGAATAAAAACCCGTTTTATATGAAGACCGAATTGTCAACTAACTTACACATACACAACACGCAATCCTGTGTGTTCCCATTACAATCCATAAGCTATGTATTTTCAAGGCCACGGCTGAAGGAGGCTCGCTGATTGGATCAAATGTGGGGTGTGTGTTCCTTGGAGCGATCTGATTGGTCGAACCTTCTACATTCCGTGTCGAGAGCTAGGATGTGTTTTCAAAAACATGCAAACCGGATTGTATTCCCAGTTCGCTTTAACTGCGACCGATTTTTAAACTGTTTGATTCAGTTATATAAAAGTCACAATATATTGTATTAGATTATGCTTTTGCTATGTAAGTTAGGCTGAATGTAATGTTTGTTTCTAGTTAACTGAAGTGACAGAAACCGAATTAGTTTGAGCTTGGAAAGGCCGGCATATAGTTTGGTCCGGAGGGTGGGGGAGACCATAGCGTTGGTTATGTGAAATGTCACCAGCAACCACATTGCTTTTTAGATTATATGCTGTGCACTATGGGGCTACTCGTGTATATTTTATGTAATAATGGTGCAATGTCTGACAAAATGCCAGTAATTATGAGCTTTTAATTTCAACTTCCTTTAAAAAATGTACGGGTGAAAAAGAACATTTTCACGATTCGGCATATCGGGCACATGATGCTAGACGCATATCTGTGGAGCCAAAAGACACAGATATCGCAGCAGAGCTGTATACCACAACATGGTGCACCAGAAACTCTTTAAGAGGCAATAAACAAGGGGGAGGAGGAGGAGGAGAAAAAGAAAGAGAGGAAGAAGAAGCAGGAGAATGAGGAGGAAAAGAAGAAGAAGGAGGAGGAGAAGCAGAAAAGAAGAAGCAGAAAAAAAGAAGAAGAAGAAGAAGAAGAAGAAGAAAATGCCATGATTTGCCGATGCCGTAATCATATGAGATAGCCAACCATTTATTTACGTTCATCGGCATGGCACACGTTGATGATATGTAATTTATAAGCTCAGCGCGTCATTTGTTTACGGGAACATCCCAAGAAGTAACACCCACCGAATTAACGTTAGTGCTCACAACACACATTATCTGGCGCTTAGTATGTCCTAATATGATTTACAGTCGTACAAGATAGTTCATTCTGAGGTCACATGTTAACTGCAGTTTTATAATCATTACATGGTGTAACTAGATTTTGACACTGATTTCTAACTGCTGCAGTTACGTATATGCTCGGTATGTAGGTTTTGCTATTCAATTGCAGCAGATAAACGGTAGTTATTATTTCTTCCTCCCCCACCCTCCCCCTCCTTCACTAACTGGTGTTTTCCAGCTCTTCATCATGTTCATGATCTTCTTCTTCTTCTTCTTCTTCTTCTTCTTCTTCTTCTTCTTCTCCTCCTTCTTCTTCTTCTTCTTCTTCTTCTTCTTCTTCTTCATGCTGTTCTTCGTGCTTTTGTTTTCTTTTATAATATTCATAATATATATCATCGTATGATCAGAACATGCTATTAGTAAAACACAACTGTTGTGCGAAAGATGGTTGACTGGAAGGGCCGAATTTAAGACGGGCCTGCGTGCCCAATTTATGACCCTTTGAAAAAAAAAAGTTCGTTCGTTCGCTATTCTTCTTGTTTTCTTCTTCTTTCTTTCTTTCTTTCTTTCTTTCTTTCTTTCTTTCTTTCTTTCTTTCTTTCTTTCTTTCTTTCTTTCTTTCTTTCTTTCTTTCTTTCTTTCTTTCTTTCTTTCTTTCTTTCTTTCTTTCTTTCTTTCTTTCCTTCTCTCTTTCTTTCTTTTTTTTTTTTTTCCTTGGGACGCAGACGCCAACACAGTACGACAAGTACACACATGATACGTACGACCAAAACTGGAGTATGGCAGGGGAGCATACTTCACTGCAGCCAAACCAAATCTATACAAACTAGACAAAATAAGCGCACTGGTCTCAGAATCATCACTGGATACAGCGCACTGGTCTCAGAATCATCACTGGATACAGCGCACTGGTCTCAGAATCATCACTGGATACAGCGCACTGGTCTCAGAATCATCACTGGATACAGCGCACTGGTCTCAGAATCATCACTGGATACAGCGCACTGGTCTCAGAATCATCACTGGATACAGCGCACTGGTCTCGGAATCATCACTGGATACAGCGCACTGGTCTCAGAATCATCACTGGATACAGCGCACTGGTCTCAGAATCATCACTGGATACAGCGCACTGGTCTCAGAATCATCACTGGATACAGCGCACTGGTCTCAGAATCATCACTGGATACAGCGCACTGGTCTCAGAATCATCACTGGATACAGCGCACTGGTCTCAGAATCATCACTGGTTATAGCGCACTGGTCTCAGAATCATCACTGGATACAGCGCACTGGTTTTAGAATCATCACTGGATACAGCGCACTGGTCTCAGAATCATCATTGGATACAGCGCACTGGTCTCAGAATCATCACTGGATACAGCGCACTGGTCTCAGAATCATCACTGGAGGTATTAAAAGCACACTAATCAATGAGCTGGAGGCATCTTTCGGCCTCCAATGCTTGAGCCATCGAAGGAAAGAAAAGGTGCTTACCCTATCAGAGAAATGAAATCTTATGAAGAACAACCTCATGCAGAGAATAGCAAACAACTTCCTAAAAACTGACTGAAAAGACATAGCTTTCACCGTTTATCAAAATTCTTCTGCACACAAAAAAAAAGTGACATCCTTTTTGAAGACCCTTCAACGTAAGAAATGATCCAGAAATACAACATTAACCTACAGCTTAACTGTAAAGCCAAAACAACAACCTTAGGCATAGACAGTGTAGTGTTTTCGTTCATGATGCTAGTGTAGGACGATTGTGATTTCGGATAGAAGGTAATAATTGATACTTTGATATTTGAGTTAAAATGTGTGCTTGGACAGTCTATTTCATGTGCCGGCTGAGGAAGCCGCGAGTGGAAGATTAAAGTGCTGAAACAGTATCGTGTTGTTTTTCCAGCTCTTCATCATGTTCCTGATCTTCTTCTTCTTCTTCTTCTTCTTCTTCTTCTTCTTCTTCTTCTTCTTCTTCTTCTCCTTCTTCTTCTTCTTCTTCTTCTTCTTCTTCTTCTTCTTCATGCTGTTCTTCGTGCTTTTGTTTTCTTTTATAATATTCATAATATATATCATCGTATGATCAGAACATGCTATTAGTAAAACACAACTGTTGTGCGAAAGATGGTTGACACAGCTGGAGGCATCTTCCGGCCTCCAATGCTTGAGCCATCGAAGGAAAGAAAAGGTGCTTACCCTATCAGAGAAATGAAATCTTATGAAGAACAACCTCATGCACAGAATAGCAAACAACTTCCTAAAAACTTACTGAAAAGACATAGCTTTCACCGTTTATCAAAATTCTTCTGCACACATAAAAAAAAAGTGACATCCTTTCTGAAGACCCTTCAACGTAAGAAATGATCCAGAAATACAACATTAACCTACAGCTTATAACTGTAAAGTCACAACAACAAATTTAGGCATAGACAGTGTAGTCTTTTCGTTCATGATGCTAGTGTAGGACGATTGTGATTTCGGATAGAAGGTAATAATTTATACTTTGATATTTGAGTTATCATGTGTGCTTGGACAGTAGTCTATTTCATGTGCCGGCTGAGGAAGCCGCGAGTGGAAGATTAAAGTGCTGAAACAGTATCGTGTTGTTTTTCCAGTCGTCCATTTTCTGCTCGTCGGTGTGATGTCGGTGTGTGAGATAGCAAGCGTGCGATGATGCGAGCCAGATAGAAGACAAAAGGAAAATCATCGCAGACAGAAAGGCTGAAGAATGTCAGCTAGTAATGCAGGCTAAGACCCTGTAACATGTTTACAACTCTTATCCAAAATCTGAATATACACATGTATATACTGAGGAATCATTGGAGAGAGCAGGAAAAAAAACAGAGAAGCTGGTTCGGTCATCATGCTGCAAAATGAAACTACAGTAGAAACGTTTTGTGCCTCTAGAAGACTCTCCACACACTTGAGAGCAGAAGAGCAAGCAATTATTGATGCAACTAAAGAAAAAAAATTTTTTCCTGTGGTATTACATGTCAGTCATCCAGGCGATTCCAAAGGATCCGTGGGACAACACGGGGAAAGAAGCGACCTTTCAGCTAAACAGACTCTTAGAAAACAATCTAATCGTTCTCCAGTGGATCTAGGCTCATTGCGGCATATCAGGACATGCGTTGGCAGATAGTTGGAATACAAGAGAAACAATATACCCATTCACTGACACTACCAGAAATCAAAACACCTATCAAGGGAAAATACAAGGCATTTTGGAGAGAACAAACGAACAGTTAACATCCACAAGACCCCATCAGCAGACTCAACATAGAACAATTTTCCATCTACGAACAGGACACTGTAGACTCAACTACCACATGCATAAAATAAAGATTGTACAGTCCCCACAGTGTGCCCGTCAGACAGGACCACAACACCTGAGCACATTCTGCAGACCTGCCCACTCTACCTACAACTTCGAAAAGACACATGTCCTCAAAAGTGTGCAGAGAAGGCTCTGGGGAACCATGCAGGCTCTGGGGAACCATGCAGGATCTGGGGAACCATGCAGGCTCTGGGGAACCATGCAGGCTCTGGGGAACCATGCAGGCTCTGGGGAACCATGCAGGCTCTGGGGAACCATGCAGGCTCTGGGGAACCATGCAGGCTCTGGGGAACCATGCAGGATCTGGGGAACCATGCAGGCTCTGGGGAACCATGCAGGCTC